TGAAGTCCACAAGTCTTAAAGTTGCCAAGGTTGGACACCCCTGCCCTACACCATTTCTGACAGCTGGCAGTCCAGGCTCTTCTTGAAAGCCTCCGGATGATGAAGCTCCCACAACTTTTTTTAAAATAAATTTTATTTATACATGTTTTTCTTGAATATACATAAATACTTAATACACAGTGTATTGTCTGGGTCAATTTGCTTATACAACATAGTAAAATGGTATCATAGTAATCATAATTATAGTACTATTAATCATCATAATAGTAACACTTACTTGTTTATAATAATAATAATCTTTCATCATTTACTTTTTCCTCTCTATTTTCTACCTCTTTTATCTAGCCACTAATAGAACAAACGCCATGTTGTGTCTTCCTTGTCTTTTATTTTTAATGTCAATCTATCCAGCTCCCCAAGGTCTAATATTTTTGTGATTATATTTTGATCCCACAACTTCTGAAGGCAACTTCTGTTCCATCGGTTGTGCAACAAGCCATAATAATAACAACCCCGTTGGCATTGACAAAATCCCTATCCGCCAATTGCAAAAGGCAGCTTTACTTGGGACAGCTGACATCCTACAATGGGACCTTTAACCCCATCCAACAACACCTATCTATACCAGGGGTGTCAAACTTGGCAACTTGGAGACTTGTGGACTTCAACTCTCAGAATTCCTCTGGCTGGGGAATTCTGGGAGTTGAAGTCCACAAGTCTCCAAGTTGCCAAGCTTGGAGATCCCTGGTCTATATTCTATAGCAGAGGTCTCCAACCGTGGCAACTTAAAGACTTGTGGACTTGTTGAAGACTTGTTGAAGACTTGTTGAATAATATAGGGTATAAAGAGTGTGGGTCCTAAAACGTCTGCCCTAATAATAAACACCGCTAAGCTACCATAAGATGGTTAGAACGAGGGAGAGCGTGCGTCCTTCTGCACAACCAAATGTCATTCTTTCATTTGACAGCTTGTTAAAAGTGAGTCATGAAATCCATAACTTCCAGCTGAAACAATTGCTGTTCATCAGAAAGGATATGCAAAGCAATTCCATGTTTATATTCAAAGTTACACGTATCGCCCACTGGCTTTCTCTGCTGCTGAGATAGCCTTCCAAAAGAAGAAAGTATGGATCCTATACTGACCTCATTACAACATTAGATGGCCATAATCCTCCAGGGTTAGATGATGGGTTATTATCTGGAATCTTTTCTTCTTCTCCTTGCAAACATCTATCATTCCTCTTTATTACGTGGTTTCTGTATGGCCCTTCTTGATGTAGAACATCCAGAGTCACCTTCGGTTGTCAATTTTTTGTAAAATTATTTGAAATAATTGTGTTGGCTAAGAGAGACACCCTAGCTGACCATAGGTAGAATTCTCCAAGTTTCCTTAAAGGAATTTTAAAGCATGTAATATTATGTATTTTGTATCTTTCCCATATTTCTTTTTAATCATTCCTAATAAAAATAATTCTGGTTCCAAATCTATTTGTTCCTTGAGAATCTCTTGTAACCACATTTGAATTTTAAGCCGGTACTTCTGGGCTTCTAAACAAGACCACCACATATGATAGTAAGTTCTTTCTTCTTACATTTCCAACATGCTGGATATTATACAGATTGTAACCGCTGCTAGAATTGTCTATGCTCAATGTTGGAAACAGAACTCTATACCAACAGATCAACTGATTATTCAAAAAATAATGGCGTGTGCCCAGATTGATAAATTAACCCTGATATTACAAGAGAAAGAGGAGTCTGAATATTATAGAATTGGGGGAAAATTGTATGATTGGATTGAATAAGGACAAAGGGATGATGAAAAGAGTTAATGATAAGCATTTCATAGATTAAAGGTTTATATTTGCATGAACTGTATATATTTGTAAATAAGTACAAGATAGACATATATGAGATATATGACACACACTGTTAATGTCATAATATTTATATGTTTTGTTTGGTTTTAAAGATATAAAAGACTAATAAAGTTTATTAAAAAAATAAAGGAATTTTAACAGCTACATTAAATAGCAGAATCTCATCTGGTGTAGACATAATAAGAGAACAACAGAGTTGGGAGGGACCTTGGAGGTCTTCTAGTCCAACCCCTGATCAAGCAGGAGACCCTATAGCATTTCAGACAAATGGCTGTCCAGTCTCTTCTTTAAAACTTCCAGCGTTGGAGCATTCACAACTTTTGGAGGCAAGTTGTTCCACTGATTAATTCTTCTAACTGTCTGGAATTTTCTCCTTAGTTCTAGCTTGGTTTTCTCCTTGATTAGTTTCCATCCATGGTTTCTTCTTCTTCTGTTCATGAAATCTTGGCTTGCATGCTCGCTAGGTCATGGCAAAGTGGATGAAGGCAGAATATGATCACAGTTGGGGAATGCTAGCCTCCTTTGTACTACTTTCCATTCGAAGCAGACATGCAAAAGTAGAATTTGGTTATCATCTCAAAGGCGTTTTTTTCAAAAGGCGACTGGACTTTCTTTTTCCTTGAAGACATTTCTCTTCTCAACTAAGAAGCTTCTTCGGTTCTGAAGAAGAACTGAAGGAGAACCAAAGAAGCTTCTTGGATGAGGAGGGAAACATCTTCAAGGAAAAAGAAAGTCCAGTCACCTTTTTAAAAAGCACCTTTGAGCTGATAACCAAATTTTCTAATTTTGCATGTCTGCTTAGAATGGAAATTAGCATGAAAGGCACTTTGGAATAACCATGACTTGCATGACTTGAGAATCTCCATAGACAGTGAGACATCACCTCAGGGATTAGAAAGACTGGGCCAATTCCTCACCGAAGTCAAAAAAATTTCTAAATTCATCGACTGAGCCAGAAAGTAGGCAGAGAGTTACAATACATCACTGATCTTCTCAGATAACAGCCTGATGTAAAAGCGATCAATAAGCAGATATTTAATGGAGGAATGAATGAGTCACTTGTCCAATAAAATAGAGGTTGGTTTTCAACGATGGCTTGTAGCTTTGAAGCTTTCTCAGCGTGAAGGACAAATTGGGGCCACCTTAGATAAGGATGGGTCCCGAAAAGAAAATTACTTCAGCTTTTATTCTTTAAGCAGGGCAACTCAAATAAATATTGGGGACATATAATTCGTTCCCTGAAAGTAGAGGAAATTTAATGGCCTGCAAAGGGAAGGATGCGATGCCCAATTATACAGGCTGAAGTTCTGGGAAAATATGTCCTTCAGGCAGGGGTGGGATTCTACCAGTTCGCACCTATTCGCTAGAACCGGTTGTTAACAATCTAAGCAGTTCGGAGAACCGGTTGTTAGAAGAAATTACAGGGCTAATCCTGTAAGGAAGGCAGGAAGGAAACATTCTGGTGTTGCTTACAGAAACTGCCTCTCC